ATATATATATAGTAAAGCTAGTCGAAAACCAGGCTGGCAGCAGAACTTGGCCTTCGGAAGGGGAAAAACGCATACCGAATGAAGTTACAGAAGTTTTCAGCTCGTCAAGAGCGCGTTGTCATCCATACATTCTAACAGACAAACGTCGTTAGTGTAATCACACTGCTTTTAAAACAGCTGCTCATTTAACCTCCAACATTTTGGAGATCACTTCGAATTTCCAGAATTTCGTTTACGACGAAATCGAACAGGGCGAGAGAGGATAAGCTATAGGGACACTGCTTCTGGTTTCAAACAATCTTCTTAGTTTGAGAAGAAATACGGATACAATGATCTCATAAAGTTTACAGAATTTAATAGGTGAACCTGAATGCATATTATTGTTTGGCAACAGGGCTCCCGATCCTCCTTAAACTATACATAACGAGCACTCAAACGCTAAGACCTTGACCAGCGCTGCACAATCTATTTTCCCACAACTACAGAAGCTCCACCGGTCCTCATGTAACTCGACCTATGCTTAGTTTTCAGTGACTTGTCCTTAAGGACAAATAATTACCAATTGGTAAATATTTTACGATTAATTTTCACTTTATGCAAACAAATACCACCATGGCTGATACGGACATCTAGTCACTAAATTTAAAGGTGAACGTGCAGTTCTCATTTTTAAATGCGTAGCTTTACAACGAACTGAGGTAATAAGCTTTAGATGCACAGAATTTGTTTACCGCGTCGATTTGGTCAAGTATTGTACTTGATGACTGTGACGCGCACATGGGAATACTCAACTTACCTTCGGTTCGACATCCTTCATAGCCTGGTACGCATCGTCTGAATAGTCCAGCTTTAGAGAGAGTTGTAGGTCGTTATAAGCACCTTCCCACTCTCCTAGCAACCTTAAATACATTTGTAATAAGGCTGAACACGGTTACTTTCGAGAAAAACCCCGCCATTTATAGGGCTGAGCGGAATCTGGATTAAGCGATATGGCCTTCTCACAATCTTTGATGGCAGCACATGGTTTCTTCAATTTATAAAAGCAGCTAAGAAGTGAACAATTGTCCAAGGACGCCTACCTCGCTCTCTTCGCGTACAACAAGGCTGATGTCGGATTAAGCTTGATTGCCTCGGTAAACAATGCGATGGCACCTTCGATATCACCTGTTGCAGGGGAGATCTCAGCAGTTATTAAATACGACAAATTACCTTCTGAGAGCTTCGCCTGAGCCTCCGTTCTCTTACCATCTGCTTGGTCGATCATTTCTTCGGTGATCTCCACCGACTCATCGCCCATCTCCTGGTTTACATCCGAGTCAGACGGTAGCACTTCATCAGCATCATCGAACTCTAGAGGTTATAACGTCAGAATGAAACAATTCATTCAGATATGTAACTACCTATTTCTGATTCAGATGTTTCCTCTGCACCAGAGTCACTTTCCTTTGGTGGAGCAGCGGCATGAGGTTCTTTATGATCCCCAGTTGAGCCCGTGGGAATCCTCGCACCAAGACTGCGTGCAGGCAAGTAAATTTACATACGCCCTGGGCAACTTACCGAAGGAGCCATTCTTTGAAGAATGAGAGTTCAGGCAAATCAAGTGTTTCTGGGTTTTCGTCGATTAATTTGATGAACCCTTTAAGTAATGCCAACTGTTTGGAGTCCATTTGTTGCACCGTGCAAATAGGTAACGACCTTCGAGGAATTTCAGTTGCCCTCCAGAATGCGAACAAACAAACCAGGTCAGGTTAGGTCAGGTCAGGTTGCACAGGACTGAATATGGTTACAGCCAATCGAGCGTCCAGAATTCCTTCGATGGTATGCTCACTACGTGGGCACCCAGCACTGCTGAAGTAAGAATGAGAAATAGGATCTTATCTCACCAAGTTGGTGAGTGAATTGTTAGACGTGATCATTCCATGACGTACCAGCAAAAAAGGGAAAAGGCATCCTAAACATTTGCACACCTACACTCGTCTACACTGGTGGGATGGGAATAGTTCCACCCATCGCTTATCGGTAGTGGTGTGGCATCCCAACTAATAGGATTGCCAAAAAGGATCGATTTTAAAATGTATTTTGGAAAAAGCGATGTCAAATTCAACCGAAATGGAAAAATTTTGCTTTTATCTGATTCTGAGTGATTTGTTAAAACCTAATTTGTTTTAATTAGCCTTAATTGACTTTGTCCGGAAAGTATAAATATCGCAACCGAATGGCGACGATCACTTCCACGCTCATATAAACCAGGGATCATGTTGACGATACGGTTGTTTTTGAATGAATGGTAAAATGTGCTATGGATCGTTGGACGGATTCTTGGAGGACTTCCGTGAATTCCGTGAATTACCTGCACTTCCTTCTACGTTTATGCGTCAATGATAGTCGAACAACTGATACGGGAAAGAAAGTTTGGTCGGAAACTGACTCTGCCTGAGGGTTTTCCGTATTATTTCATCAAATATTGCTACGTACATCACAAAACGCGTTGCTCAGTTGCGATAGCCCGATGACTCGCGGCGCAACTGCAACCAGGTAATTATGCCTCTCATTTCTAATGTAATTAACCCATTTTAGGCTGCAGAATATCGATTGTCCGGCATTCGTTGGAATTCTCGCGGTCTGGAGGGAGTATCGAGTGATGAAACGTTGTCTGGTGCACAACCATGACTTCCATGTAGGTCAGAGGGGACTGTATATAAGTAATCCTCGTCTATCTGGAGAACAGGAAGAGGAAGTGAGTACTTTGATAGACAATTTTAGAAGTACTCGCGAGCTAAGGGATTTCGCCACACACAGGTACAAGAAACCCTTAAATACGGCAGATAAAAAATCCATACGTCGAAGAATGTCTCAGTCGGATTCATGTGGCGATGCGGTGAAGGTGAGGGATATGCTGGAGAATCAGAGCGCTGAACGAAGTCATCGTTCGTCACATTTATTTTGTTCTTAAGATTATGCTGCACGGTGTCGCCAGGTTTATTGATGTTTTGTTAGCGGACGCCACACATCTGCTGAATTGTGGCGGGTACGTGCTTTGGCATGCTATGCTTGTAGATGACACCGGTTAAGGTCGAAGTTTCCTCTACGCTTTCTCGCCGAATGAGAACGGTGAGAGCTATCGATCTGCAGTGGGAGCCATGAAATCTATGTGCCCCGTCTTTGCACAATGCAAGACTATAGTAGTTGATCGTAGCTTGGCTTAGTGTAACGCGTTTTCAGAATACTTTCCGTCATCTAATGTGATATTTTGTCGTTTCCATCTCGT